TCCGTGACCCGTAGAAACGAGGTGACCCCTTAATCTTGGGCAATGACCCCATTTTTTAAGGGTCATGGAGAGTCTAGGTGCACCTTTTTGATTCTGCTGCTTTCCACGCAAGACAACAAGGAATCAGCTAGCGTCCTCCCCACGCCTCCTGAACTCTGCAAACTTCAAGCGACACCGCGCAGCCTGGGCGAGGCTGCATTATGAGCCAGAGTCCTCGAGGAAAAGACTTGTGGTCCGGTCAAAAGGATCTCAACTCAAATTAGTCCTATCTGGGTGAAAACAATACCTTGTCGCGTCGCATCCATCATAGAATACCTTTGATCATGCAAGTGGGCAGGTTGACCGAGAATCTGCCGTGAAGATCTCTGTAAATAAGAATGAGGACAGGTTGTGACACCTCCTCGATAAATCCTGCCCCGCCGCAAGCTTCCACAGCCCATGCTTGGGTTCTCTGATACATGGGTCTCTTTCTTTTCACCAAACAATGATGGTTCTAGGGGTACCTTCGCCATTCTTTCCAGGCATCCTGCTTTCTAAAAAACCGCCCTTGAAACCCTGGAGAGAAACAGATCCGTTTTTCGAAAAGAAAAACCGAAGCTTGAAAACGAATGGAACAAACAAATCACCCCCTAGAACAGTCGCCTTCTTGGCGTTTTTTCTAAGCAAACCGAAACCAACCGAGGGCTCCCACCCAAAACCAAAAGCCCCGCGGCCGCGCCTCCAGGTAGGCCTTGAGCTCCCGGGAGGCGTTCGCTTGCCTCCTGGCGGCTTGCGGATGCGAGGGAAGGAGAATTGGAAGGACCAAATCGGTCCATGGACGAAATCCTGCACCATGGTTCCATTTACACGGGTTCCATTTTTTGGGTATCTATTTTTGACCCACAGCCAAATCCGTTCGCGCCACTTTGATTGTCCTCTTGGTTTCCATTGGATTTCCCACAAGGGGGTACCCCTCAAAGCCATCCAAATGGGTATGGGTCAAAATTCAGCCAGGAATTGGACCGCAGGTTTGAGTCCTTGGTTCCATTTGCCAGGGCAAGCCGTTTTGGGTACCTATTCTTGACCCACAGCCAAATCCGTTCGCACCACTTTGAAACCATGGGAAACCATTGTGTGTGTTGGTATTTACAAGGGAATCATCCTTCCAGGGTGTCTGAGGTGGTGCGAATTTTATTTCGCAACCATCCACAGTGTCTTCTTGGCTTTTGCCTGGTACATGGGGGAAAAAAGACAGCTTTCAACCAGTGCAGCCCATCTACTTCTAGCGAAAATAACCCAAAAAAATGACACCTACGAGAATGAGCCTTATGATAAACCATCCAGTGTGGTTTCCTTTAAGGGAATCCCCTTTCGGTTCATTCCCACATTCCCTCCCTCTCAAGGCGAAGTGGAAAAGCCCAGCTGGGTCACCCGCAAACAGCGTTCACTCCTCTGAACTGGGGCTGTGACTTCGGTTACTAACTTACAAACTTGGCGAAGCGAACGCCCAAGTACGGCGAGATTCTTTTGTCTCAAAGCAGTGCTCAGCTGAGCTTCTTGCAGCTTGGGTTTGGGAGTCAAGAAATGGAAGGTTTGCACACTCGAGTTGCGCCTGGTCAAAAGCTCCTTGAACTTTCGCCGACAGAGCCTCGAGGCAATGAGGCACAAAGGCTGTCAAATGTGCGAAAGCTCAAGAGCTGCCTTGACGTCATCCTTATCCAAGAAACTGGGCTGCCTTCAGATCCTCCGCTAAAAGTTTATCTTTTAGTTGGCTACATGGAAACTACCGCTAAACACTGAAAGGCTAAAGAGCTCAGGAACCGGATGTCTGGGAGCCACTAAGGAAAATGAGTGCTCCCTGAGGCTGGGGCAAGCCGCGGGTGACGGTCTGAATCATCCTGGCAATCGAGGCGCTTCTTCGGGCGCTTCTCGCCATGCGCCAGCTGAAGTCGTCTCCCGAACCCCTCTCGAAAGGACCCAATCCATGCGATGCGCTAGGGTGGGCCACTCATTGGTTTAAACATATTTAAACCACTGGCTATGATGATGATTCCCTTGTAAAGGTGGTGTTTAAACCATATTTTGCCCCACCCAGGCGATGCGATGCCGCGCCTGGCGTTTCGCTCCTCAGAAATGGAGCGAAAAAGGTGGCCAAGAGTAGCCAGTTTTCCTTCTGCGCTGGGCAAACCCGTAGGAAATGTTCAGCGGACCCGACCCCAAAGTTCATCTGCCTCTGTCATGCGGGCCGTTCCAAGCCCGACCGAACCTTACGGTCGTTGTGATCTCGCCAAAGGAAATCCACCATTCACTTTGACTCATTCCAAACGGTTCAGACTTCACCTCCAAACGGTGCAATGCAACCATGCAGCCGCATCTTTTGGCCAAACTCGAGCCCACGTGCTTTCGAAAAACCAAGGCGACCGAATTCAATCACAGGAACACCCCTCTTGGCGCTAAAACTCGGGGGCCCCGGCGCGGCGGAGTTGCATGAGCACCCCCCGCGCGCTGATGATCGGCAGGAAGATCTGCATCGACTCTTGGGATGGTAAAATGGCTGCGGGTCAAAAATAGGTACCCGAAAAAAATGGAACCCGTGTAAATGGAACCAAGGACTAAAACCTGCAGTCCCCTGGTGGTTGAACTTTGACCCATACCCAAATGGGTGTCTTCTTTGAGGGGTACCCCTTGTTTGCGGGAAATCAAAGGGAAACCAAAAGGACAAGCCACCATTTTGGGGGTTCCCCCCAAAAAATGGCAAACTCATATTCCATCAAACCAGTAGGACCACCTTGCGCTGCTCCGTTGGGGATCTTCTGGATATGTTTGCGGGGTACATCCACCAATGTTCGAGGGTGTTGCCCGCGGACGTTAATGGCATGGGAACCAGGATGGCCCCGTTTGAAAAAGCAATCACACAGATCACACAACAAAAGAGTCCGGGATAAACCATCTAAGACGAATAGGATTGAACACGAGATGGGTGTAAAGAAAACAAAGCAGATCATGAACGGATTCTCAGTATGTTTCTCTCGGAACAAAGGGGTTGCAATGCATTGGTATGGTCTATATGCCGTGAAGAGTCGGAAACCCAATTGATCTCAGACTTGCTGGTGCTGAGTAGGGAATGTGGGAGTGAACCCAGGGGTCCCCGCAAAAGGAAACCACCAGTTGGATGGTTCATACCAGTGATTCCATTTCTCATTCCCTGCTGAGAACCAGCAAGCAGAACCAGGGAAGGGTCCCAAAGGAGTTTTTCCCCGGCCTTGAAAAAGGACACCGCGGCCAAAGCCCTGAGCCGCATCATCTCCTGAGCGAGAATCGAGTGTGCGGTGCGCGCACGAGACTGAGACCGTCCAAACATCGGAGTTTGGCCTGCCGGTCTTTCCCAGATCCGGTCACAGACATGCCAGACATGCGCAGCCGCGGTCGATCCAATGCTAACTCGTAGCTGGTCCATTTGTCGAGAAGTTTGCTGGTTTGATAGCCAGGGAATGAGAATTTTGGAATCTACAAACCATCCCCTATAGTTTCCTTCAAGGGCATCCCTAGCTGGATTCCCAACATCCTGAGTCATTCCCCTATCACCCCCAATGCAGTGGCTTCCCCACTCAGCCCAGTGCCACTCTGGCTTGGTACCGCTCTGCGACCCCTCGGAAGCAGCGCGCCTGAGGATCGTCAAAGCGTGGGAGAAGTCAGTGATACTGTGGATGGACGAAATCCTGCACCACTTTGAAACCATGGGAAACCATTATAGGTTGGTATTTGCAAGGGAATCATCATTCCAATGTTTCTCAGGTGGTGCAGGATTTCGTCCATCCACAGTACGTCTTCAACTCAAGGCCGTCCTTGGAACCATCCAATCGCATCATTTGGGGTCAAAAACAGTTGGTCACCCCAAAATGGGTTGCCCTGGTGAATGGAAGCAAGGACTCAAACCAGCGGTCCAATTGTTGCTGGTCTAGTTTTGACCCACACGATTTGTTTGGGCATCTCTCCAACATCGGGTGTAGCTTGACTCTGACGCAGGGCCAGGGCTGACTCATCCAAAACCTCCCCGAGCCGCGGCGGTTTCTGAGGCGCGCGCGGCATGCCTTTGGCCACGCAACTTCGCCTGGCAGTTTTTTGTTGCAAGATCCAATCCAAGGGTACGTACCCCTTTCACATACCCCTTGGAATGAACCCCTGATCCTCTCCCCAAAAGGGGTATACACTAACTTTGAAACCGGCGACGTGGTCAGCGCGTTTCCAACTTGTTTGAGGACCTCGTTTCAATGGAAACCACCGATACATTCAAACACTTTTGATGTGGGGAAATCCGGGGATCTCTGAGCTACTGTGAGAACCCCAACTTGCAAAGCCACATGTCAGAAAGTGCACCTTCGCAAGTCAAACCCGGGGCGCCACTGGCCGGGTTGCCATGTATTTGCTCAGTTGGGTTTGTGGGTGTGGGCCTCGTTTTTGTGGGCAGCGGTCTCTCAAGGGCTCAAGTTGGAAACGTAAGGGAAACCCACAAAGTGGGGTCCAACCCAAGAAGGACACACCCATGTTTGTAGGAGATTCAACTTGGATGATCCCAAGAGACTTTGAGCGCAGCCCTTCCCCTCCAATGCTTTGCGCCGCAGATGTGGCTATCTTTGCGAGGGTACCCTGTACCCCTTCCCATTGGTTTCAAGGGAAACCAAAAGGAAGCCCAACCCGATTTGGGGGTCCCCTACTTTTGACACATGCCAATATAGAAGCCCGTACCCCCCAGTGAACATCCCAATCCCCGCTAAAAACGACTAGAATGGGTGGTGCACCTACCCCAAAGTCGTACCACACCAATATTGATATTGAGCATTCGCCACCCACGAGCCCCGACATGCCGCGGCGCGCCACTTTCGTCAGGGTCTCCCTCTCAAGGAAGGTGCGTGCGTGCCGCTGGATCTGGCGATGCCAGATGTGGCGAGCGAAAACACGCTCGCTGCCTTTGGCCAGACATGAGTCATAATCAAAACCCGGTACAAAAATGGTGAACCCAGAACCATGTAAAGGAATAAGAAGGCGGATATCCGCAGCTATTTATGGCCGGGAGCATCCCTTACTGACCTCCATCTACCCGGGTTTTGATCGTGACTCACATAGACCCTGAACGTTGACCCCGGATTCACACACCGAATCGTGTAGGGGGGCGTTCCCTATCCCCATGAATCGACCAGGGGTTGGTGGATCCCGGGTTCCCATCGAAGCGACCGATCAAGCTCCAGCAGGGTGGCTTCAAAAAACCACCGAGGTTCCCATTGGCATGATTTGAGTTCGGCCCAGTTATAGAATGTGTTTTGTTTAATTGTTTGCCTCACATGGAGTCACCGGTAAAATGTAGAATGTGGGTAGGGTCAAAATTAAACCACCTGGAACTTGCAGGTTTTAGTGCAGGTTCCCACTTACCCAGGCAACCAATTTTGGGGTTGCCCTGTTTTTGACCCACAGCCATGTATCCTTACATTATACACCTGAACATTGCCTTGTAAATGGTGGTTTCCCTTTATTTTGGTGGGAAAAGCCATGTTTCAAATGGGCAAAGTGTATCTTTTAAGGAGCCCTGCACAGCCATGTATCCTAAGTCTACCCCAGGTAGGCGCATGGCATAGCAGCCCGCCTCAACGGCCGCCTTCGTGCGCCGCCTCGCGCGGTGGCAGCTCCTCAACGCTACGGCCTGGCACGGTGCAAGGAACCTCGCGAGGCGGGCGGTGAAAAATATTTTTGAGATATTAATAAAATCCAAAACCAAATGCAATGGGTCAAAATCCAAATCGTACCCCCAGTGAACATCCCAATCCCCACTAAAATCGGTGGTGCACCTACCCCAAAATGGGATCCCAGAACGGTTTTGACAACCACAGCCATATGTCCCCTGACCGGGCGTGGCGATCTACTCTCTTCCAAAATGGCTCTGCGGAAAAGAAAAAAACAAAGAACGGGAGTGCAAGGAGTTTGGTAGATTTGGTTTCAAGATAGGAATCAGACACCTCCAAAATGGCGTCGGATTCTTCTTTGTTGGTTTTCTCAGTGGACTTCACCAAAACCCACAACCCGTGGAATCCCCGTCTGGCCAAAGAGGGCTTCCAGCCCTCTTTGACGAGCAAAGGGTCCACGGCGCGGCCGATTTCGGGCCCCGGACGCTGGCCCGCCAGCAGCCCCTCAAGCCTCACCAGCGTGAGGCCTTTGAATGGGGGACGGGGGGGGGGTCTCAAGGTAGGAATCCGTCCTATGGAAACGGAGGCCCATGTTGGTTTACTGAAAGGGGTGATCAGGTTCTCAGTAGGAGACTTATAACAATGGCAATTGGGTCATAGCCGTGGATATTGCCCTTTGAGTACTACAGGGTTCCACCATTTTGAGAAACACACCTTTTTCTTTGCCCGCGAGATGGACTTCATTCTTTGGGGCTTGGCTGTCTGTGAAGGCACTGTGTTCTGGAGTGGAGGTCATTCCAACTTTGAGTATGTGTGAGACTCGCTACGCTGTTTCAGTTTATGCAGTTTCTGCAGGGGTTCACATGGGATGGGTAATCTTCTCAAAGTCTGAAATCTGAGTGGCAAAATGTCGCAACTCTCACACCCGCCTCTCAGGCGCTTCTGCTTTCTTGCTCGTTTCACGAGAGCGAGCAGCATCCTGGGGGCAAGGGCTGGCAACACATGAAACCCATTATTCGCGTGAGAAAATTGAAGAAACCTCGCTGACTGTGATCAAGGTGCAGGAGAGAAAGAAACATGCGGCCGCATCCGATACGCCCATCGACGTCCCGCCAATGATGTCTAGGTCCTCCAGCAGAGCGGTTCGAGTAAGGGTACCCTTTTTTCTGTAGTCTAGTTCAGTAGGGGAACCCTCCCCCAAAAAAAGAAACGGTAAAAGGGCACTGCCCGCATCCGATACGCCCATCGACCATCGACGTCCGCCAATGGTGTGAAAAGATGCCAGAAGTCAATTCCATCTTAGCGCCAGGCAGGACACGCGCCAACGCGCGCAGCTTTGCTTTGAAGTGCCTCTTGAAGGATGCACGGTGTGCACTTCGAATCCTTCGAAGGGACAACCTCAGCAAGCAGCGGGTTCGCTTGCGCGCAGCTGGCAAGCGCGCAGGCGCACATACCCGATCGCGCGACTCAACATTCAGAATTTTCACGATTTTTGATGCTCACAGAGAGGGGCATTTAAAGGGGAAGGGCATCGGATTTCCCCGTTCTAGTGCCTCCCAAGAAGAGGCATGCGGCAGCGCCCGTCGCAGCCTTTTTTCAAATACGAGAGACAAATGGCGTTTCTCAAAATTCTGGGGAGCCATTTGTCCAGGCAAGTGGTGTCCTTTTGGTTCCCTTACCCATCAAAAAGGGGTCTCCTATTTTGAGAAACCCTCCATGTGTACCTTCAAAAGAATACAAACCCATGAGAGTGTTTCTCGAAATAGTAAAGGGAAACCAAAAGGATGCCAAACAAAACCCAAAGGAAACTGAAAGGAAATGAAAAAAGCAAGCCAAAATGCAACCAAACAAAACACAACAACACAACAACCAAAATAAGAAAACAAAAAACACCAAAATGAAACAAAAACAAAAACAAAAATCCAAACAAATGAAACCAAACAAACATCAACAAAAAAAATGAACCCCCCCCAAATAAAAAATCTCAGCACTTTCCACCCAGGTCTTCTGGAGGCTCCGGGCATGAGCCACCCTGCCGCCCGCATGGCGCCCTTGGCACGCTGAAGCTTTTGCCGCAGCAGGCGCCGGTGTGCGCGCTGCTGGACGCACCTCTCGCACCGCTCCCCGGAAAATTGGACAGATTCCATCAGATTCCCTAAGCCAAAAGGGGAAAATTTGGCAACGGCGGTTTTATTTTTTCTGTTTTTGCGCCAGGGCTGTTTTCTGTCCTGGGGCTGGCTTTCCGCAGGGTCGGCGAACCGGATCCGGGGAAAATAAGGAAACAAAAACAAAACTTCGTCTTAAGCAAAGCTCCCTCCGAATTGGTGGCCTCAAAAAGGAAGTGTTTTTTTGGCAAATGGGTTGTAGATGTGGTGTTGTCTTCAGTGGGTGGTTTTGGCAGTGCCCGTTCTTGCGGTTTTTAGAGGGGATTTGATCACTTTCTAGACGACCGGTTTTAACAGGGATTTGACCGGTTTCTAGAAGGATTTGACAGGAGTTGGATCGGCTTTGAGGAGAATTTTCCGGTTTTCAAGGGGCAAGATCCTTTCTTGAAGGGATCTGACCGCTACCGGCCGTGGGCCTTCCAGGCTCGCTTCAGGCGGACTGGACTTGATTTCGCAGTGGGAAGGGGTTGGGGATGGGGTTTTGGAGGATCCCGAAAAGGTTGTGCCACTTGCCCACCTCGGCCCAGCCGAGCGTGCAGCGTCTGTGATTTGACTGCAGGCAGCAGAGCTGGTCAAGTCAATTGATAGGCTGCGCAGAAAGTAGGACCAGTGGCGCTGCGTGCTGGGGCAGCAGATGTCATGGGCGGAAGTTGCGCAGAAGGTCCTGACAACCAAAGCAGAGCTGTGGTGATAGCTCAGTGTCAGTCCACCGCAAACGGCGTGGGTGGGTTGTTGGGCTGGGCTGATGCTAGTTTCAGACACGTCAAACAAACCTGCGCAGTAGCTGGTTCTGCGCCTGCCTGAGAGAGGGACGGAGCTCGTGAGGGTAGGTGGGTGCTGGCAGGGGTGGGGGGTCAGACCTGGGGTTGGTGGGGGAGGTTGGCAACCGGACAGCAAGAGGTCCAGATACGACAAAAATGGGCCCATGAAGCTGCACGCCACCCCGAAAATTTGGGGCCCGCTGGCAAGGATGTTGGGCCAGTAGACATGGGTGACCGGGGGGTGGGGTGGGGGGGTGGCGAGAAGAAAATTTGGGTGGGTACTGTAATGTGATGTAATGTATGGTAATGCATGTATGTATGTATGTGATGCGCATGCAATGTAATGTAATGTTATGTTATGTCATGCCATGTCGTGCTATGTAACGCAATGTTATGATGTATGTAGATGTGTATATATATATATATGTATTGAGCATATATATATATATATATATGTCTACATGCATATAGATCTATTTGCATTTGTATTGATGTTTGTATGTGTAACGATGTTTGACAAATGGTAGTCTTTGGGGTACACAGATTGTCAGACATTGGCCGCAGGAAGAGAAACATCGCGGCTTCTGCTTTTGGTCGGTATCAACATGATCAATTTGTCGTGAGTGTTGGCTTCTTTGGGAGTGTTGCAGCTGGTTTGTCATTGCCTTTAGGCTTTGGCGATCGAAATTTCATGCTTGACACAGCGCTTCTGTGCCCTGCTTGCGAGCATGGAGTTTGCCGTTGTGAGCGGGGTTGCTTCAGAGCGATTTTCAGGCGTTCCTTACTTGGGGGTTTGGGTTGGTGGTTTGGATTGGTGAATTTGAACCCCTGGTTCTTGTAGAGGGAACATGCTCTCCAAAACCACCAAACAATCAACTTCCCATCCCCAACCCGGTCCAACTCTACAAACCGGTCAAAATCCGTTTAAAATCGGTCAAATTCCCCTCCAGAAGCCTATCCAATCCCAGCTAAAAACCATCAAACTCCCCTCTAGAAACTTGTCAAACCCCCTCTAAAACAAGTCCAACTCCGGCCAAATCCTCTAGAAACCAATCAAATTCACCTTGAAGCCATGTGGATTCACACAGACATGCACCCACCCTCTACCTTGGAAACGAGCTCACGCAAACACAAGACGTCAAGGCAAACTAAAGCACGGTGTATACCTCAAAGCCAGCCAAAAGCGGACTGGCTGAGGCGTGCAACGCGAAGCGTTTAAAATTACATTTACACTTACATTTACATACATGCATTACATCACATGGCGTGACACGACATAACATAGCATACGCTACATACATTACATAGATTACACACATTACATACAAATAGAACGAAATATTACAAATAAGTACATTACATTACAATACAGCTATACATGCATTCATTACCTGCTTACATACCATACATACCATGCATG